AGAGAGGAACAGAAGATTTCACAGGGCAGCTGGAGAAGACAAAGCAAAGTATTATAACGGAATGTGCAAAGAATTGAGGAATAAAAAAGGGAAGAACTTGGTTATTTTCTCAAGCTGAAAGGACTGAAAAACAATTCAAGCCTCGAGCTGCAGATCAGTATAGGTATGTCCTACGCCAATCATTTCTGAGATGTAAATTAGGCAGGGAAATAAGGAAGCCCAAACGGGACAGACAGCACCCAGAGGTCTTCATGGAACCCAGGAGATTTTTATCTAGAGCAGACAGCCCGCCTTCCCCTAGAAGCGCCATGCTCAATTTGGACTCCTAGTCTCCCAAACTGTGAGAAAATAAATTTCTGTTCATTAAAGCCACCCCCTTGTGGTATTTTGGCTATAGCAACATGAGAAACTAAGACACCGGCTGGTATATATTATTGTCTGCTTATCTCAGACCAAGTTTACTAAGCACTTTCTATGTCTCTCCTCACATAATGACCAGAAAATGTCTGTCCCTGCAGATGACCTGGCTGTGCCATTCCAGGAAGTAACAGTGGCTTGAAGATGAATGCTGGAGCTGCCAATGGGGTGGGGTCAGCTTAGTCTACTCCCTGCTGCCCCTAAGTAGGGCATTCTCCAGATGGGAGCACTCCACCCAGGGAGTCAGAGACTTGAGCCTCAGTACCCAATCGGCAGTTACTGCTTCTGGTTCCTGCAAGACCTTGCAAAGGGTATAAAGCCTTCACCAATTCAAGCGGCGCTTTATATTTGAAATGAGAGTACGCCATTCTAATCTTCCAATCGAGAGGGCGATACCCTAAGCTTACCATACAAAAATGATCAATGATTCCCAAAACCTTACATCCTCTCTCCCTCTGATGCCTACACATCCACACAGAGAGGGGAACAGACATTGCTGTCTTTGTTCCATTAAAAAAACAAACAAAAAAAACCACCCGCCTAACATTTAAGCTCTTAACCAGCAACCAATCATTTGTCTTCAAGTTGCTTCAGGCTCATGGTAAACCCACGTGTTAAAGGGAGAACTGTATGCAATTGGGTTTCCATCAATGTGCCATTCACTGGTTGGTGTAGTTGATCCTAGTGAAAAGTCCAAAAAAGGTAGTGATCACCTTATTCCATTGGGGATAAGAGACCTGGTGGTTCTGAAAGTGAGGGGTTGGGCAGACTGGAAGCCAAGGAGTCAGGAAGTCACACAAGTCACGGGGTCGAGGCAGAAACTAGGGTTGGGCTTCTAAGTCCAGCTGGGCGGGTGAGAACAATGCACTCTTATCTCAGGTCCTTCTTCTGTTGCCGCTGCTCACCATCCACCTAAACCATCCACCTGTCTTTAAGAACGCTGGTCTAGGAGCATCTGGGATTGTCCTCTGGATGGTGGTGGAGGACAGCAGCACACAGCTGCAATCTGTCTTCTGAAAGGCAATGTGGAAGAAACCGCCCCCACCCCCCAGCCACTAGGAAGACTCGAAAGCCCACCCCTGTTGCCTGGCAACCTGAGTCAAGCACATCACCAGGACAGAGAAGCTGGAGCAGCTTGGAGGCATCCGGTGAGGGCGTGGCCCCAGGCGCAGGTGGACCGGAAATGCAGGTGCAGGTGAGGTGGTAAGGCTGGAAGGGTCCTGAAGTCCTGAGGTATTCTGGGAGGTACAGACAATGAGCCACGTCTGCTGCTCAATCCCTGCAGCAGTGTCCCCTCCATCCCTCACTGTCCCCACCTCCAGGAAGCGAGCCTGGCTGACTCTGAGGCGGTGCTGAACTACAGGCCCAGAACTAGCATTCCACCATCCTCAGAGAGCCACCGCGCCCAGCAGCTTTGAGAGGAAGCCGGGTGCAATCACACAGCCAGCCGATGGCAGGCTCCGGGTGGGTCTCCAGGGCTCTGACATCTCCAGGTGGAGCTGGAAGATGTGACCAGGGGAAGGGTTCCCTCAGCGCAGGTGGGAACCCCTCATCTAGCTTGGCTCTGGCTTTCTTATTAATTAGCTGGAGCCTGGGAAGTCTCTCTCCTCCATAGCCACGGCACGGATTTTCTTGGGAGAGCTTTCTTCCTGTTGTTATGTACCTTCAAGTCAGAATCGACTCATAGCTGACCTTCCAGCAGGTTTTCAGAGGCAGTAAATTACAAGCGAGGAGAAGACTATCTGCATCTTCCTCCCGTCCAGCAGCTGGTGGATTCGAACTGCACACCCTTGAACTGGCAATGCAGCTCTTTATCACTAAGCCGCCAGAACTTTATCTGCCTCCATCAATCCTCATATTGAATTCTGCGTATGGATGGGCTATCTGCTAGGCTGTCCCAGGTTCAACCAGACTCCACAGGAGACTCCTTTCCTTCCTGCATCAACTCTTCAAATTGGGGGAGACCACGACCTTTCCTGGATCCCCTTTCACCAGCTGGTTCATCTTCTGCAAAGAGCTTGCCACATACATTTCCCAACTACCATCTGTGACAGGGCTGGTGCCACTTAAGACTTCAGTGTCCTGCTGCCCTCCTCCCACCTCCAGACTCAGGACCTGCATCTGCCTCTGAGGCACAAGCCACTGTGAGTGGAGTTCCGATTCTAACTCGGTCACGTGTGAGCAACGAGTCCTTAACATGACCAACTTTCCCTGAGCCTCGGCCTCCTAATGTGCATAATGTGGGTCTTCCACATCCAACACAGGGATGCTGGGAAGAAGGAGTGTCCCAAGGGGAGCCGCGGGCGTGTGGGTGTTCAATAAACGTCATCTGAAGTGGCTCAAAGAAGGGACAGAGAAACCGAAGACAATGAGCTACAAAGTATCAGGGAGAGCAGACCATGTTCCTCTCCAAGCTTCTGGGACAGCAGCTCCATCCCAAGGAATAGATGAGACTCGGCTACTCCCCAGCTATAGGCCTTCCACCAGTTCCCCAAGCCCCATCTAAGGCTGCGCACTGAGATGGTTTAGGAGATGGGACTCCGCCTTGCCTCCAGGCGCAGGGTGACTGAGTGGGCTGGTTCCCTGAAACGCTGCTGCTGCTCTTTCTGTTAGGTGCGACCGAGTCAAGTACAACTCAACAACCCTATGGACAACCGATCTGAAGCCTGTCCTCTCCTGAGCCACCCTCAATTCTTGATATACCTGAGCCCACTGCTGCGGTCACTGTGTCAGCCCATCTCATTGAGGGTCATTCTCTTTCACTGACCCTTTCCAAAGCATGATGTCCCTTTCCAACGAATAGCCTCTCCCAGCAAACTGCCCTTGTTCTAGAGAAGAGCCCTCTGGGCACCGTCAGTTCCTCCAGCCACTGACCAAACCCCGGGGGAAGGCTTGGCCGAAACACAGAATGAACAGTCTGAACTTCCCCTCAACTTCCAACCAGGCCAAGTCTCTTCCTGGGGCTTAGACCTGCCTGTATCTATGCATTTCCTGGAAGAAAGCTTCATTTTAAAGTCTTTCTTCTGCCTTCAGGTGCAAAGTATCATTCACTCCCTGCCAGACTGCATTCTGTCCCGCGGGTCTGTCACTACCTGGGGACAGGGAGTGCCTGGCACAGGACACGTGGTCCAGTCCCCCTGTGTTCCCACTGGCCTTGTTACTAAGAGACCAGGGTAAATATGCTTTCCTCCTGAACAAAACCTTTTTCCTGAAACAGTGGAATATTCAGAGGGATAGAGACTTACTCTTTTAAGACAGCACTGAGTTTAGTGCAAAAGAGAAAGCATTTGAAATTTCATGCCCTGAGACACAGTAAAGAGCTCTGCGAGGAGTTCTGAATTCTCCTCCTTTCGTTCTCTTATTCCAGGAAGCGCAGACTCGTCCATCATCCCAATTCCCCAGGCTCTTGCCCAGAGCTCTGTCTCCTGGCAGGCTGCCTTCCTGGCACAAACAACAGCTTCTCCCAGCTGACCACTTGGAGCCGTCAGCCAATGGCTGCTATTACCCCGATCAGCCTCCACTGAATTCCCCATCTCTCCTCTCCGGGGAGAAATGAAAACCAAAGGACAGACAGACAGACAGACAGCTAAGAAAGCACCCAGTGTGGTTTTCCTAGTAGTCCACCCACATGCTCGGGAGACCTGATGGCCTAGGGAACATACATGGCTTAGGGGTAAGGAGCTACGCTGCCAAGCCAAAGGCCCTTGGTTCAAATCTACCAGCTGCTCCACAGGAAAAAGATGGGCAATCTCCTCCTGTGAGATCTGTTGTTGTTATGTGCCATCAAGTCACCTGCAACTCATAGCACCCTTTGTACAACATCCTTAAACCCTGTTCTATCCTGTGCCAATCTTATTATCTCTGACACACCTCCTGAGTCAATCCATCTCATCGAAGGTCTTCCTTTCCTGCACTGTCCTTCCACCCTCCCAAGCATGCTGTCCCTCTTCAAGGACTGGTCCCTCCTTGCAACATGTCCAAAGTATGTCAGACAAAGCTTCAGAATCCTTGCCTACAAGGAGCAGCCTGGTTTCACCCTCTCTAGGACGAATCTGTTTGTTCTCCTAGCAGTCCATGGTATATTCAATCTTGGTGAGATTTACTGGCTCTTAAAATCTGACTGAGTATCAGCTATGATACTCAGTTCCGACTTGATGGTTTGTAACACCACCAAGTGGTAAGAAGTTGTGCTGCCAACCCTAAGGCACACAGTTCGAATCCACTAGCTGCTTTGCAGGAGAAACATGGGCAGCCTCCTCCTGTGCATTGTAAAGCCCCCTAGAGGGTCAGCTACGAGGCAGTTCCAACTTGACAGCACACAACAACAATTCCATCACCCTTGGATGATGTAAGTGGTTCGGTTTAATGCACTGGACTGTGAGCTGCAAGGTTAATGGTTCAGGGCCACCCAAAGACACCTAGGAGGAAAGGCTTGGCAGTCTACTTCAGAAAAAAAATCAGGGTGCAACCCCTTCACAACTGTTTCTGGCCGCCATCAAGATGCTCCGTCCGGAAAAAAAATGGAAAATATTTTTTTGAAAAAGAAATATAGCGTTCTGTCCATCCCTGCCCTGGAACTCTCTATGCTGCAGACCCCGAAACGGGGACCCGGAACTCCAGGGCTTGGGAGAACTCAACCTTGCCTTTCCAAAAGTTGCCGAGAAGCCTTCCGATCCCCCCAGCCATCTCCTACGTCTGGCCAGGCTGATGGGACCATTGAGGATTCTCAGCAGCTTGACATCCAGAAACTGAAAGAGAAGAGGGACATGCTGAATAAAGAGATCTCCCAATTCGTGTCTGACCGCTACAGTGTGGCAGAGCTGGCGGGCCACGTTAGCCAACTCCACGAGTATAATGACATCAAGGATGTTGGCCGGACGCTACTGGGCAAGCTAGCTGAGATCCGAGGGGTCACCACCAAAGAGCTGTATCCAGAATTTGCTCTGGACGTGGACGACTCGACAGAGGCTGTGGGCTCGTAGCTGCCTGTCAGTGACACCATGGGATGGGAAGCCATGAGTCTGAGAAGCAGTGAGAAAGGGCTTCCAAGACAAAGTATCAGGAACTTTTTTCCAGATAGCGGAAGCAGAGTTAGAAGAGGAGAGGAGAGGGCTTAGGGATCCTGTGTATAAATAAATATTTGAGCAATCAAAAAAAAAATCAGATAGTGACAGATCTAAGGGGCATATCTACTGTAACAACACACGAAGTCACCACGTGTAACACACACTGGTCACACATGAGGTTTCCGAGGCAGAAACAATTCGAGGGTAACTGGAAACTGGACTTTTCTCTCTTAACTCTTTTGAAGGTTCTAGTCAACCATTTTTCTCATTTATTTACACTGAGGGCAGACGGCCCTGCACAGCATTCATTCAGAAAGGCACTGAATGGGTGAATCTGGCAGAGGAAGCAGGGTGAGGAAGCGGGGTGGGGAGACGGGGGAGTGGGAATTGTACAGCCTGAACGGGCCAACCCTCCTCGTGTGACCTGCGTCTGCAGTATTACAACAACAACCTGTTAGGGAGAACATTCCCAACTGGCCTTAATAAGTAACAACATGGCAATGAAGTTATTTGGTTATTGTATAAAGTGATTCATTATAATTCTAGGGCTGCAAACGATAACAATAATCAGATCACGTAAAAGGTAGTAATTACCGTCGCCTCCTCGGCACAAGCTAGAAAACACTAACACTTTCACTTTTCTGCCCTGGTTAATGCTCTCATATTTTTAGCAGAAACCGAAGGTCCCGCTTCCCTCTTCCACCAAATATAGGTGAATTCTCATCATGGTGCCTGTTCGTTCTTCAACAAAAGAAGAAAGACGTTCTGGGGCTGCAGCCTCTCTCATCCCAGCCAGGGAAGAAAGGAGAATGAATGGTGGGGCTGGAGAAAGCAGGACTGAGGCACAGAAGAGCTCAGCTATTGATTGGAGATTTCGAGGCATCTTCTGGCAGAACCAGAAGGTTCTAGGCCTGGGTGTCGCCCTGGCCCTATTATTTCTTTCAAGATGGTCCCCTGGGAAATTCAGGTTCTTTGAGGTGAACCGTGCACTGGGTCTGACCACCACTACATAATCCAATCTTCCGAGAAGGATTCTTCACCAGTGCCAGGTAAAAACCCCTCCACTGTGATAACGCAGGTGCCAAGGACGCAGGAATCCTATTTCAAAGCTGGTGGACCTCACTCCACTTTTAATCTACAGATGGGGGCCATCAGCAAATCACACCGCCAAGATAATCTCATCATTTTCAAAACAAGAGATTTCATGCGCATAAACCCCGTGTGAGCAGGCAGAGGTAAAATGATGAGTCTTAAGGTGTTAAAAATTCAGTGAGGGCTTTTATACCGAAAAAGTTAACAAACATTTGAAAATCCTTAATGAACAGAGAGACAATGGAGGCAAGGGCGAGGGGCAGCTTGTGATTAATTGTAAAGAAAAATGCTCAGGGAAGGAAAACCCACAGCTGGCGCTGAGAGAGAGGGATAGAACTGAGGAAAGCACATGCTGGGAGGCGGAGGTGGGCTGGGAGGGGGAGGGAAAGATACTACACCCCACACTCGGGATGTGCTGCCTGTGGAGGGGGGTTTGGTTAGTGGGAGGGCAGGGTGAGGCAGGGAAGTGGACAAAAGCATCTGAGAGAGCACAAGGTAGATGGGTCCCTGAGTGCTCCCTAAGCCTTCACCAGTGAGAGACAGAATACAAGTGGTAAATAGGCCCTCACCCACGGGAAAGTCTGCTGTCAGGGACCTCGCCAAAGTACTACTGAGCAATGATGTCACTTTAAAGACTAGGGTGTGCCTTATTCAGCATCTTTCCCATCACCTCCTAGGCACCTGAGAACTAGACATTGAATAAGGATGACAGAAGAAGAACTGATGCCTTTGAGTTGTGGGGTTGGAGAAGAGTACCGAACAGCCTATGGGCTGACAAAAGAACAGATGTGTCTTGAAGGAAGTGTAACCAGAGCGCTTGCTCCTTGGAGGCAAGGATGGCCAAGCATCCCCTCACATAGTCTGTTGCTAGGAGATGCTATTCCTTGGAAAGGGGCACCATGCTTGGAAAGGTGTAGGGTCAGCCGAAGAGGATGGAGTGATACAGTGACTGCAGCACTGGGCTCAAGTGTGTCAGAGATGCTGAGGACAGCACAGATAGGCCAACCTTCTGATCTGTTGTTCACAGGGTCACTGTGAATCAGACTCGGCAGCACCTAATACCAGCAAACTGAAAGTCTGCAACTTGCAAGCCACTGTCATCATCTCCTGCTCCTCCCCCCTCTATGTTTTACAAACCAGGGCAGAAAAAGGGATACCTTTTTTTCGAAAAATACTGGGTTTCTGTTGTTGTGTGCCATGGAGTTGGGGAAGACTCATAGCTGCCCCTCCAGTGGGTTTTCAGAGGCAAAGGAGATTGCCTATCTTTCTTTCACAGAGCAGTGGGTGGATTTGAACTACATGCCTTTGGGTTGGCAGCACATTCCTCAATACTAGGCCAGCAAAGCTCCCTGCAAGGCCTACCATTTAGACAACAGAAGCACCTCCTCCAGGAAACCAACTCTGACATCGCTGCATCATATGGCCTGGCTATATTCTCCCAGCAGCAGCCTGCTCTCCTCCCAACTCCAGCGATGACTCAGATTTTTCCTGTACTTATGTGCTCTGCATTCCCCATGGACCGTAAGTTCCTTGAGGGTAGGGAGGCACTCAAAGATCAGGTTACGCAAGTGAGTCATGATAAAGGATGGGAGAGAAAGAACAACTTAAAGATTGAACAACTAAAGCACAGCTGTCTGCCGGGAACCTGCAATGCACGATTCTGGGGGAACTGTTCACACTGTGCTCTCTGCAGAGGGGACCTTCTCCTGGAGACCCACTGCCAGGGCAGAGAACAGGAGGCAGAAAGTCAGCGGAGAAGCAGCCCTGCTGCCACTGGCCTGGAAAAGCAAACATAACTTTTGCTGTGTCCGTTGCACCTCTAAGTTTCAGCTGAAGCAATCTTCTTGTTGTTAAGTCCTGTCTTGTTGGAGTAATCTTCTTGTGGTTAACTGTTGCTGAACCGCAGATCTAAACCATGTCCTATCCTGAGCCATCCTTATCATCTCTGCTACACTTGCTCCTATTCCTGCTGCCACGGCGTCAATCCAGCTCTTTGAAGGTCTTCCTCTCTGTCACTGATGTTTCTAAGCATGATGTCCCTCTCCAAGGAGGTGCCTCTCCTACCAACATGCCCAAAGTACGTGAGATGAAGCTTTACTCTCTTTGCTTCCAAGGAGGCACTTTCTCCAAGACACATATGTTTTTGTTTTTTTTCTGCAAGTCCATGAGATACTCAGTACTATTCTCAAACACCACAAATCAAAGGTAATCTTAGCAAAGGAGAAATCAGCAGATGTATCCTGGGCACGTAAGCTGAGATGCAGCAGGTAAAGCTGAAATCCAGGCACAAAGCAGGGACAGCACACTGCAGCATTCAGGAAGACGACATTTGTCTCACAGGCTCTCTCTCCATCCGAGACATGCGCTCAGGCCTGTCTTGCCTGCGTGCCATCCAATGCCCTCCCTAATGAGGACGGGCGTGCCTATGCCCCCACCACGGCCATCAACACAGGGACATGCCCTGATGGTACAGCCAGCCATGTGAGCACCTGCAGGTCTATGCAGCTTCCCAGATGCTAGGAAATCTCTCACCTGTGGTCAAACAGCATCCTTTCACAACCTACGGGGCCAGGCTGACACCCAGTTCCTCCACCCCCACCCGTGATTGATGATGGGTCAGGAGGCAGCCATCACTCTGCTTCTGAGAACAGGGACTCTGATGGGCTGAACGTGTGTGTGTTCCAGTGTGGTTTCTTCAAAGATTCCCGCTCGGCTAGTTCGTGGGTACCTTTAAAGGCCCAGTGCCCACCTGAGATTACTGGCCCAGCACACCTCATCACCCAGCTCCAGGCTGAGTCTCTTCTTTAGAATCCAGGTACCTTGGTCCTCTGGTCTAGACTAATGCTGCCGCTACACCAGGCTTGGGATGCAGCAGACCACATTCCTCCAGTCTAGTCCCCTCTCCCCTCTCTGGAGCTCATACGGTCAAGCTCTACGCACTAGGCAGTTCTGCCGAGCTCAGCAGGCCCCAATCCCCCATATACTAAAGATAGGGAGCCTTCGAGTTCATGCAGGAAGTAAAAACCAGGGTAGGGGTACAGGCCAGAGAGCAAGCGATTCCCTTCGCCTCACTGGATATAGGTGGTACTAGCACAAAGCAGTAACACATATAAAAGCTGCGTGCGGTCTGAGTTGGATTTGGGGCGCAGAAAGACACAGCAGCTACAGTGGGGGTCCCCCAACACACCACGATCAGAGACAGACCCATGCTCAACATAATCTAGCAAAGGACCCAGGAAGGTAAAACCTAAGGTTAAACGACCCCCTAAGTATACAATCAACACCCTTGGCACCAGACGCTAGGAAATCAAAAGATGCATTGCACTTAGACGGCTGTTTCGAAGGGATCTCTCCAAAGTGCTGAAAAGTAAGAGTGCCAGTTTGAAGACTGAGGTGCACCTAATCCACTTTTCAATCACTAGAGATGCATCTGAAAGTTGGATAGTGAATAAGAATGACAGAAGAACAAGTGACGTCTTTAAGGTGCGGTGCCGGAGAAGAGTACTGAATACCCCATGGACTGCCAAAAGGACAGCTAATTACGTCTTGGAAAAAGCGTGGCCAGAGTTCTCCTTGGAGGCAAAGACGGCGAGGCTCTGTCTCCCATACTTTGGGCATGTTGATAGGAGAGGCTATTCCTTTGAATGGGACATCATGTTTGGAAAGGTGGGAGGCTGGTGAATGAGAGAAAAACTCTCAACAAGATGGACTGACATAGTGACTGCGGCAATGGGCTTGCGTGTATTAGGGATGGTGAGAATGTCACTGGGTCACTAAGAGTCACAGCAGACTTGAGGGCACTTAACAACAAGAAGCATCAAGAG